ATGATATTAGAGTTTTGATAATCAAATGGGCTTATATATTGTCCACCATTCAAGTTTAATAGATTATTGTGTGAAGGGATGTGTTAAAAATATAAATACAAAATTATTTATGTGCATTTCATTTAATAATTTAAACTTTTGAGTTGAATTATTTTTTTATAAAATATTTATAATTTAATATATTTCAATCTAGAATTCAAATATTATTATTATTATTAATATTTCATACTTACAAATATTTAATTAATTTAAAATTTAATATACATAATTATTGAGATAATATCACATGATTCAACAGTTGAATTTTTTAAATTTTAAATTTTATAAAATATTATTAAATAGGAAGGGGAATGTATCGCAGATTAAGAAGGGATGGTCCCACCTTTCTTTTTGTTGTCATGAGGTCTCAATTTGAGTTTACCGAGCTGGAAAGTACAGCAAAAGTTCCATATTCGGTAAAGAAACTTTCCAATAAATCAATGACTATGGTCTTAACACCACAATTCATGCAGCATAGTAACGCGAAGCTCAACAGCACACATCCAAAGTCCCTTTTTTTTTTTTTCTTCTTCCATAATTTTTTCTATCTGTATGTTATCGCATGAATGTTATGTTACTTATTTATAGCAAACATCTAATTAATGGCAACTCTAATTGCATTGAAGATTATGAACTCAAACTACAGCCACGACATTCACGTAAAAAATGAAGTCATGAATTACTAATCTAAAATTAAAATAAATTATATGTGTTGTTTGTTTGATAATTATCAAAAGCTTTTGTTGCTAGTGATGATTTGTAGTTATTTACCGACGCAGCATGTTTATTTGTCGTGCAAAAGAGTTTTACAATAATAGTGAACTAAATTCTAACTCTTCTTTTTTATGGATATGAAAATAAAACTGTGTTACTGATTTGAAATATATCACAATATAACTTTTTTTAAGTACAATAGTGATAAATAAATTCAATAATATTATAATGAGTTTAATGTATCTTCAATGAAGATAACTTATCTCCAATAAAATCAGAACAATGTTGTTTTGAGATTGAAAAAAATATATTTTTGTATTTTTAATTTATTCTAAAATTATACCGGTCTTTATCATATAACTTTTTAATTTCTCAAACCCAAAATAATATTGTTTTGATCTCATTAGAGATAATTTTACTTTCGGAACATTAACTCCTAATCTCCTATTATAATATTTATAATTTCTTAGAGACACTTGTGTTATTTTAAAAAAAAATCATTTAGTACCCAATGGGTGCAGCTCAGTTGGTAACTTGGCGCTGAGTTAGTGGGGTTGGATATGTGTTCGATTCCCGCTGAATGCATTCTTGGGGAGGGGGCTGAACCTTTAGTCATCAATGTTCCCCCGCACTCCGGATTAGTCTCATAGCCGGCTCAAAGAGTCGAAGCTCGTGGGGATACCGGAGGGAGCCAATTCGTCTCAAAGAGATAATTAGGGTTGGGTAACTCCAAAAAAAAAAAAAAAGTCATTTAGTACAACTCCAAAATTAGCTTCTTCTTTTTTCTGCTAAGATTAAATATGTTGATATTTTAAAATATTGAGTTCTTAGGCCTGTTTGGAGTATCTGATAAGTAAGATAGGATAAGATAACTTATCATATCCTACTTTTTTTTTTTTTTTGGTGGGTCAATAGGATATGATTAGCTTATCCTATTGCCTCATTTTATCCTATCCAATACATGATTTCTTATCTTGTGGGGGGAGCGGGGTTAGGATTTAACAGGATAGGATACCAATATTTAATATCCAATATATCCATACGTTACCCAATATTCTCACTCTATCCAATATATTTGTATTTATTGTATTATATTTTATTTTTAATTTTTTCTTTCTCTTTTTACATAATCTTATCCGATTGTTAATCAGGTGCTCATCAAACACATGATACGATATAGGCTTATCAGTCTCATATCATATCTTACTTTTATCAGTTTCATATCATATCCTACCCTTATCTATCCTGTCCAACGAACCCTTAAAGTTCTAGAAATCAATTCCCCAGCCCATGTTGAATAGCCTTTGGGTAAAAGCCCAGAGCAACAGGGCTCAAATGTGACATTTGCAATTTGCAATGCATGTTACACGCTGAAGGTATACATTAATGAGGAAAAAAGAGTAATTTGGATATATCTTTGTACGAAACTGACGTGGCAAATGAAGAGTGGATAAAGAAAGATACCACAGCTAGCTGGGAATAAATTTTTTGTACTATTGTTGTACCAAAGATTCAGTATATTCCACCAATAAAAATATTACGTGTTAGCTATTTTTTTTTTTTGTTAGATTTTTTTCTCTCCTCTGATGTGTAATGCTCTCATTAATAAGATGCATTAAATCTAAGTACAACAATAGTACTGAAGATTTATTTGCTAGCTGCAGATTACCGAAACTTCCACTCTGACAACGAAAGAACAGAATGTAAGTGATTTAATTTTTTACTATAAATACAACAATAAATTTTATAAACTTCATAAAATAACAAAGGATTATGATATAATACTTCTTCTTTTTTCTTCATAATACAAAATTATCATGTTAATAAGCAGTGGCAGAAGCATAAATTTTAATGACTGGGGGGACGAAAAAAAAAATGTTATATTATTAACAAAAATATTTGAAATATAATAAAGACATAATATAAAAAAAATTAAAAAAATCTATTACAAAGATTAAGATCACTTTATTTGACTCTTATTTTACGTATCTTCTTATTGTTAAACTCATATATAATTGAATTCGTGTTAAAACTCAAAGTAATTTCTTTTTTAATGTATGTAATCAAAGAATTATCAAGAAATTGGTCTTCCATTTTATTTCGAAGCTTGTTCTTGATTTTATTTTACGCATGCGTATCCTGACTTTTTTCTTTCTTTTTAAATGTCAGAATCCACATGTGTAAATATGTTTGCTACAAAAAAATTCATGTTATTGCTACAGAAGAGACAAACCCATAAATAAATCACGTTATCCATTATCAATAAATTAGATACCTACAAAGTTATATATGTCCTTTTATTCTTTTTATAGCTAAAATTGTTAAAAATTTAAAGAGATTAAGAATAATTTAGAAGAACACACTATAATTTTTTAATCTCACAATTAAGTGCTACGGCACTCTGTTTCTGTTTTTTTCACTATTTTTTGTTTTCTTCTTGCACACTCTTGTTTTTTCTTTTTTGAAACACATAACCTATATATTGACAAATGAACTACCGAATCAAGCCTCGTACTTTTTAATATTTTAATCGTAGAAATATTTAACTTCTATTTGTCTTCTTCATAACCAAAGTCGTCCTTGACTTTCAAAACTAGTACAATTGGGAGAAGCTAAATAAAAAATGAAAATGCAAAAGCTGAATCCTTTTCTTAAATTTTACCCCAAAAGAAGGTGAGAGAGGCTAAGGCGGGTTATTAACTATCACTGAAAACTGAAGAGTGAAGAGGTACTTGAAGAGTGTTTCAAACTTGAGTCTCACGCCCCCTTCAATGAAAATGCTCGTGCTTCCTCTTCAGTTGTCTTCTCTTGCAATTGCAGGCTGAACAATTTTCATAAATTTGATTTGAGTCGTTGAGATTTTGTGCTTCTTCTTCGCGCTAACGCATGTAAATAATTTATCCACTAACACGCATTTTGTAATATTATTAAAATAATATTTATATATATAATTTTTTTCCATCAAATTTTAGGGGGGCGGGGACCCACCCGAGCCCCCCTCTAGGTCCGCCCCCGTTAATAAGTAGTATAAGAAAAATAAAATTCAAAAGCCACTTCTTAAATACTCAAAGTAATAACCTTACACAAAAAGTTAAAAAAATCATGGAAATTTTTTGTGTCTTTTTAAAATATAAAATTGTGTTGTTTTAAATGGGAGGAAGATATAAATTAATATTTTGTATTTAAAATTTATATTAAAAAAATATCTTTTTTTCCATGATCTTTATTATTTGTATCTTTCTTTCATTTAAAATGACATAATTATATGTCGGAGTAAAGTCGTTTATCGCATGTATGATAATATTGTTGTCTAAAATTAGTTTTCTATGTGCACAATAAATAAAATATTTATTATATTATAATTTACGAAGTTATTTTATCCCACCAAATTGAACATTGCAAGCATTTGTATGTTCTATTATATCATATTCGGACATCCAAAGTTTTTTCTTAATTTGCCAATTGGCATTTGCAAATACTCTTTATGGCTTTTTAATTACGTTCTATTATATATATGAGTTTGTGTGAATGTGTACTGAATTATATTCTTATAGTTAAACATGAAAATTGCTATAATATTATTTTTTAATACAGTGATAACATTGAAATTGAAATCTATGATTTTATATAAATTATTTAACTCTCTCACCACTAATTTACCGAGTGACTTTTCTCTAATTATTTTTCCAACTATCGTTTCATGTGTTATAACAAAATAATAAAAACATTAAATTATATAAATAATAATAATAAATAAGCTCATTCAATTGAATTATTCTTTCTAAAATGCTTAAAATATTATCACTATCTTATTAATCTCCTCTTCCGGTCTTCCACTAATTGTCACTTGATTAATTTTGTAAAGCAAGCGGTAAAAAAATAAATTAATTAAAATGAACGGATAAAAATAACAAAGGGAGTGTTGCAAGAATTTGCTTAGTTGATTTGAATTTTGTATTCCGCATTGTGCTTTTCCAATCTTGTCTCTATAATTTGTATCTATGTAAACAAGCTAACAATCACCATAAGCTAAAATAAGCTTATTTTTACCACACACAAAAAAAAAAAAAAGCTTATTGATTGATTTTTTTTTTAAACTCAATAAGTTAAATTTAAACTTATAACTTGCTAAATATTTATAGACACATTTAATTTGGAATATATAATTAACTAAAAAACAAATTTAAGTGTTAATAGAAGGAGGTGTGAGGATAATGGGATGAAATATGAATAAGAAAAGTGGAGAATAAGGAGGAGGAGGAGAAGGCGCGTGAGTGAGAGTGTGGGGGTTGAGTAGTGGATCCCACCACCCATGTGCACTCTTCCTCTGTCTCCACCAGCTCCTGCCGCTCAATCATTAGACCCCTCTGTTCCCCTCTCTCTAAACTCTAAACTCCAAACTCACTCACTCTCTCAAAACACTCTCAACAACCATAAACCCTCATCCTCTCTCTCTTCTTCTCTTCTCTCTCTCTCTTGTTCTCTTCTCTCAGTACAATAAAACCAACCATTGCTTTCTCTCTCTTACTTAAAACAACAACCCCCCAATCCCCCATGTCTAGCTCCGACGGAACCACTAACGGCGTCAGTAACGGCTCAATCATTGATCCACAGCGTCAACAAATAACCGTCAAGAAACCGCCGTCCAAGGACCGTCACAGCAAGGTCGACGGCCGTGGACGCCGTATAAGGATGCCAATCATATGCGCCGCACGTGTCTTCCAGCTCACGCGCGAGTTGGGCCACAAGTCCGACGGTCAAACCATCGAGTGGTTACTTCGTCAAGCCGAGCCCTCTATCATAGCCGCCACCGGCACTGGCACCACTCCCGCCAGCTTCTCCTCCGTCTCCGTCTCCCTCCGCGGCGGCGCCGTCTCCAACTCACTCTCCTCCCCTTCCACCACCTCCGATCATAAGCCCTTGCTTGCTCCCACGCCCTTTATACTCGGCAAGCGTATACGCACGGATGACGACGCCTCTCCTGCTTCAAAGGATGATGGCGTCTCTGTAGGGTCTTTGGTTGGGCCTGCTGCCCCTGCCGGGTTGTGGGCCCTTCCCACGAGGCCCGATTTCGGACAATTTTGGAGCTTCGCTGCGGCTGCTGCTCCGCCGGAAATGGTGGTGCAGCCGGCGGCGGTGTCGGTTTCTCAGCAGCAGCAGGCTTCGTTGTTCGTTCATCATCAGCATCATCATCAGCAGCAGCAACAAGCCATGGGAGAAGCTTCGGCGGCGAGACTGGGGAATTATCTTCCGGGGCATCTGAATTTGCTAGCTTCATTGTCCGGAGGTCCTGGAAATTCTGGTCGGAGAGACGATGAGCCTCGTTGATTGGTTCTCGGAGCTACTTGTTGGTGGTGGATTGTGGAAGGTGGTGGTGTTTTCTTCGTATATATATTTATATATATTTTGCGTTATGGCTATCGCTTTGTTGTGTGTGGAAAGCAGAAGATTCTGAGTATAATTTAGGGTTAGTTTATTTTTTTTCTTTTTTAGTTTTAAGTGGAGAAGTCCATCAATCAAGGAATCCAATTAGGATTTTTATTTCCTTCTGGTTTGGAAAAATTAGTTAGGTTTTTAGAAGTTCAAAATTGTTTAGATTCTGGGGTTTTGCTGGAGGAGAAAAACGGAGATTATAATATTTATATTTGTGATGGTGATAAATTGCTACGGATTGAGGCTGGAAGCGGTTTTCAGAACCTTGATCAGTATGCAAGTACAGTGGAATTCATATTGTTGTTGTGAAGCTGAGTAGAGTTCTCCAAGTTGAAGACCAAGCTTGGAATGATGGAATTGCATTGTTGCTTCTGTTTCACTTTATTAGTGGGTTTTGAGGTTTGACTGACTCGACTAATTGGGTCTAGAAGTTTGGTTATTGTTGCAGTTGAAGTAATTAGTGCTTGCAAGCTTGTTTTTAAGCTGAGTGATTGTGTTTCTCAAGTTAAACTGTCACTCCCAATTTGTTGGAGTACCCTACTTTCCAGTATAGATTGAGAATTTATGTTCTCTTGGCTGCAATTGGGGCATCTTTTAAGGGATTGAGGTCCGTTTAAAGTGGCTATGTTATGAATTTGGCACAGCTGCTGGTGAGTTATGCTTTCTCTCCTCCGCTTTCACGCTCCTTGTTGGTCTTAGTTGTTTCAGAGGTCACTGGTGTGTGAAAGATAAAGCTCTGGTTGTACACTGTATGACCTCTGTTTTGAGATTTTTATCTGCAATTCTTAGCCATTTCTTAGATTGATCAGCGTGAGAATAATGTTTTCTTGTATGTAAGTGGATTGTTTTGGGTGTGAATAAAAAACCCATCTGTTTCTTTCTTTATATTTTAATCACTTGCCACGTTCTTTTTTCAATTTTGAATGTCATTCGATTCAGTGTGCTTTCTGTTATTAAATTCTTATAGGGAATTGGACCTTTCTGAATATGGCCTGCCTATATTATAATTCATTTGAGTGTTTTGAAACTTCCACCATGTTTGATTTCGTCGTAGTATCTTCAGTTTTCTGCTAGTTTTTGTAATTTCCATGGTACTGTTTCTGGGAACTTGTACTCTGGCTTTTTCAGTAATTAAGGAAAGGAAAGATAAGGTTAGGTACAACCTGTATTCAAGTCTTAAATTCATAACAATAAAGATCTAACCTACATGGTGTGGTTACTATTTTTATTGTTTCACCTTAGGTTAAAACAAATATGGTGTTGGTGCATTTGATTCAACATTCGACCTGGGTTGTTATTGATGTAAAAACTCAATTTTGGCTGATATGTTGTATCTCAATAATGACATATTTATACTGGTTGTTATGACTTTGGCTTTTAATTGCCACACCCATTGAAACTATCATGTGCTTCTGCACGCTGGCTTATTTTACCTTCCTCAGAAAGCACACACAATGCTGAGTAGCAGTGGAAAAAGGATCACCTGAAGCGTGTCTAACATGACAATTGCTTTTAATGTGTAACTAATTTGGGATTTTATTTCAATCCTCCTCCAAATTTAAAATTCATTTGGAAGATGCCTGACACCTTTGAGGCATAATATAAAGGAAATAGGAGGTAGTTGATTGGATGGATGATATATTGTTAACTAAACATGATATTTGCAGTGAAAACGAAGGAATTGTTGCATTCAACTTCTGCCCCCAGAAGGAATTTCAGAGCATCTCTACGGCTAAGCATTTGTAAATATAATCTCATTTCTTGGTCCAGGTGAGTTGGTGCAAAAATGTGTCATTGGTCAGTTAATATTTGACGTTACACCGCTTTGGTCAAGTAATATGTTTTTAGTGACTGGTGTAGCTCTGTGAGTAGATAAGAATTTATGGATGGCATGAGATAGCGAAACTGAAGAGGTTGAGTATGCCAACTCATCATTATGTTCATTTTGTACTTTTCTGAGTATGGATTGTTGGTGGGGTTTTCAAATATAGGGATTCCAACGTGTTTTCTTAATTATTGCTAAACAGAAGGGTCAGCTCCCAATAATTGATGGGTCCCTCGAACTAAATGTCGTGGTGAAACAAGTTAAAAACCATGTTATGATTTGGGACAATATTTAAACTATCGTATGATGGACGTTTTGAACTTGCTTCGAAAATGGAAACTGATTATGGACCCACGTTATTTTTTAGGGCCATTGCACTTGGGTTACGTAATTGGGCCACACAATATGCCACAACATATTTGTGGGTCGTATCCAAATCCGAATTGCAATTGGTCGGATTCTGCGTGGTTCGATGTCTTTATAAAAAGATCAAAAAAGGAAAATTTAAAATTTAACACTTCAAAATTGTTGCCATAACAATGTCGGATACTTTATTTTTCAATGATGTCTAATTTTTTTTTTTTCAATACGAGTAAAAATACTATATTAATTAAATGCGGTTAGATGTTATTGTATTTGTAATAATTAATCCTGGCTTATAAAACATTAATATAGCACAACCTCGTATAGAAGGTGGTGCGTAGTGGTCCAAGTGGATGCAATTTATTAGTGTAAATAATAATAATAAATAATGGAAAAAATATTTGTCCTTTTAAAGCATGTTCATTTTTGTTAAAATTAGTGTTTTTTATTTAAAATCTAAAATAAAAAAATCACTCATTTTCTCCCTCATGGTGTTCATTGTATATATCTCTCTTTCACTTTAAATAACACGATTTTATGTTTTTTAGAAAGACAAACACCAAATCCAATAATAATTACATTTATGATTGTAAAATCAGTAGTTTTACACAAAAATCCACAAATTAGTATTGTTGCTTATGGGTTCATCTCCCGGGGTAGATCGGTAGAGAAGCTTACATGTTTCTACCCCTCTGTCTTTTATTTTAGGGAAAATATTATAGAGTATTTTTCTCTTTTATACGTACATCGACTTCCGTGTTATTTTTATTTTTTATTTTTTTTCTTTAAGTAAGTGGATCCCACTCATAACTATCTCTATAATATAAGAGAGCTTCTCTTATGTCAGATGAGATTAATAAAGCCCTTTATTTTATACCCAATAAGAGATTACATGCTATTTATTGGTGGTAGGGCTGCTAATGGGACGCCCATTGGGTGGCTGATTAGTAAACGATGTGACAAAAGGGGTAGAATCGTCGTCTTCGTTGTCAGAAGAGGAATCAAATATTTTTTCATAACACATCTTAAAAAAAAAAAAGGCAAGAAAAATAGCTTCTTTTTTTATTATTAAAAGCTCCCATAGGCCAAAGGGATCTTCAGGCTTTTATGTTATTATTTAAAAAAAAACAAAAACAAAAACCAACTCACATTCTTCACATGTGATCATTTTTTCCTGTCTTGTGCATAGCGATGTAGATATCATGTTCAAGCTCGCAAAGTTTTTTGGCCCAACATGATATCAAAATGATATAAAAAAATATTGTATTTTTGTTGGTTATTTAATTAGTCTAGTGAGACATGTCATTAAATTTTTTTCTTGTTATATTAAAAATATTTATATAAATAAATATCTGATGAATAAAAATAAAAATACTTATTAAATGTTATTTATAAATCAATATAATTTTTTAGATATTTACAAATAAGTATTTATTATTTTTTCAGAATTTGTCTTCATTCTTTAAACAACATTTATGTTTATCTGAAGCTTTTAAGTAATATACATATTTTCAATTATATATACTACTCATGTTAATTTTAATTAGAATAAAAGTTTATATAAATTAATTTACGAAACAATTTATTTATAATTTGAATTCTAAAATAATTTTGAAGTTAAAAAATCATACAATCACTAAATAGTTTTAATTTTATTTGTTAATTTTTTATTTTTAAGTAACTTTTAAGCTAAAACAAAATTAAGGCAAACATATTATCCCTTTAAAAAATACTTCAGATGTTATTGTTGTAGTTTTTAGATGTTATTGTTAAGTCATCTTCAGATGTTATTCTTTAAAAAGATAAACCTTTTTCCTTTTTATTATTATCTTTTTCATATTCTAACTATTTATTTTCACATAATAATAAATATCAGATTTTTCTTCTTTCAGTTCATTCTCTCTTTGTTTTAATTTATTTTTTATTATTATCTTGAGAAATTTAATATTTTTTAGAAAATTTGAAAATGTTGAATTGATAATGAAATTTAAATTACTTCTAAAAATATATTTAATTTAATTTTTCAAACATACGTACAAATTAAACAGTATCAAAATAAATAAATAAAACATTTATCTGATTATTTTGAAAAATTGGTTGCAATTGAATCGATAGAGTTGGAGGATGCGTGGTTGAAAAATAAAAAATGACTCGAAGTCGAGCGATTTTAATTCATGTTAATACATGAAAATACTTTATATTATTAACTAATTGTATATACATTGTTATATTTTAACATCTTCAATAATGTTATAATTATTGGCTTGTTAACGGCACTCCTACTTTTTTTTTTTTTTTTAAAGTTTGCTCTAATGCAAATTATTAATTCTTGGTAGTTATGAATTGTTATTATTATGTATAATTTATTTCTAATTTTTATAATCACATTGTGTAAAATAATTAAATATGCAATTTAACACAATTTCTTCAATTAAATAATGTTAATGTGTAAAAAAAAAAAAAAAAAAAACTGATAATGATACTTTCCTATTTATCCTTATTACCTGAGAATATATTTTTTATATCTTATATAAAATATGAGATATTTTTATCAGAGTATAATACATTGAAAGTGACTTAATCTTTTAATCAATTATTTTTCAAAAAATCATGTACATGTTTCTGTATAAATATTAGGGATTTGATTTTCTCATGTTGAATGAGAATTCAATTCTCATGTTGTGACACAATCAATGATGGGCCTCACATATATTAAAAAGAGAAAAAGAAAAGAAAAGCTTTGCAAATAAATCGAAGAGTCACAACATGAGAATTCAATTCTCATGCAACATGAGAAAATATTTTCCCTAAATATTAATTTAGTTTAATTTTCAAAATACTTTACGGATGTGATTTCAACAGGGTTTGTATTTTTAAATAAAAAAGAAGAAGGGAAAAGCAAAATATTTATTGGAGTTGTTTGGAAACACTTTGTTATATAACAGAAAGAATTGGAGGGTTTCTGAGTGAGTAAAGAAAGAAGAATGGCTTCATCGAAGAGTGGAAACGGTGGCGGAGCGATTTCCTTGGAGAGGATGAGTGTAGAACAGCTTAAGGCAGTGAAAGAACAAGCAGATCTCGAAGTTAATCTTCTCCAAGATAGTCTCTCCAACATTCGCACCGCCACTACTCGTCTCGATATGGCTTCTTCTGCACTTCACGATCTCTCTCTTCGCCCTCAGGGTCAGAGAATGCTTGTTCCTCTCACTGCTTCCCTCTATGTACCCGCCACTCTTCACGATTCTCATAATGTTTTGGTCGATGTTGGAACCGGCTATTTCATTGAGGTCACTTCTTCGCTTTTCCTTTTTTATTTTATTTTATTTATACCTATTTAGTTAATATCAATCAATCCTATAAATAGATCAAAACCTAACACTTGATTAGTTGATTGCGTTGTTTAATTTCATTGATTAGATCCAAACCACATAAATTTTTTTTTTCAATCACTCGATCTTGATCTTAATGCAACCCTGGTCAGCTATTATGGTTTGTCACTGAGAATGTATTTGTTTTCTTAAGAGACGCTAATTTCAAATATGAATTTTCTTCATATTTTCTACTAGTAGAATGTAATTTTATTGTGAGCTATTTTGGAATTTTCCTTATAAACAAATGGAGCCAAAGAAATATTATGGATATCATATTTAGTTATAGTACACTGAAGCTTTGTAATTGTATTACTACTTCATTAAATGTTTCCTTCATGCCAAAATCAGAAAACAATGGCCGAAGGAAAAGATTACTGTGAGCGCAAAATCAACTTACTGAAGTCAAACTTTGATCAACTTTTTGAGGTAAGCTTCCTGTTTCACGTCTTGTTCCAAATTATGATATGTGCATATGCAGTGGTTTTTTTCCATGGCATATTGTTACAATCTTTTGTTAGTTTTATTTTATTATCTCCCAAAACTATCTTTTAAATAATCACTCTTCAGTCTTCACCATGGAATAACCACAACATAAAATGTTGTCTTTTTTTGCTAAATGAGGTGATTTTGTATGTTTATGCTAAATGTGGTTATTCTATCGTGGAAAGTGATTATTCAAATACGAATAACTTTTTCTAATACAATTTTTTCGCACCAATTGATATTCTGTTTATAAAATGGACTAAACAATATTTCTCCCTTTTATTTGCAAATTTGCAACTAAATTACCTTTTCACATCGTCTTTTCAATGAATTTGTATTTAAGAAGCAAAATCCAAAACTGCAGGTTACATCCAAAAAGAAAAATGTGGCAGATGAAGCTGGGGTTATTTTGCAGGCAAAATTGAAGCAATTAGCATCTTCATCCTAAAAGTAGTTGGTGTAGAATTCGATTGCTTTTCTTATAAAGCATTGTACCATAGAAAATCATAAGCAGTGGTGTTAAGGTCAGTGATGTTATATGTTGTTTAAACCTTTTATTAAAGTAATGACGATTGAAATTTAGAGGGTATTGAGGGAATGGGCTGTGGTCTTTCAGTTACATATTCTCTAATTAGAGCAGACTATTGAGCAGTCCTTATTCTTTGCTGGCCTTTCTGGCATAATATTTTGGGCGTGTTCTCATTTTACCAAAGTTGATTCGCATTGTTGTGGTTCTGAACTCTGAAGGGAAGGTAAGGGTGCATTCATATGTAATTATCCTTCTCTTGGTAAGTATTGGCCAAACGAAGAAGATAATTACATGAGGGCACTCTTTTCGTACATACTAAGGTATTAGTTCCTATTGTTTTTGAATGATTTGTCCTTATACAGTTATACTTTACAAATATTAATGAGTTAAAAATAAAATAAAATAAAAAATACAACCACTGGTTGCAAAAAGATAAACAGTGCATCATGCTAGCATCCTTTAAATCCTGTGTTGGTGAGAGGCTGAGAGCTTCAATGCTCGAGCTTTCTCTGGCAATTCGTTTTCCATTTAACAAAAGTTGCATACACCATCTTTCGATACCCACTTCACTAATATAAACTTTCGCTGTTTCCCTCCTAATTTCATATAAATTCTCTTACTTTCCAGTAGCAATTGAGTATTCATATTGTTGCTTAAGATTACCAACATTCTCAATGTGGCCTTGAAACAATCAGATGTCATCCACAACCGCAAACAGCCTAGCAACATGACAAGAAAATTAAATGTCATTTTTTTAACAACTTTATGTAATCATCTTTTATCGAATCACTTTTCAATGATCTGATTCAATTTTTTTTGTCTAACATGTTGATTTTGGTAAAAGCAGTATTTGACAATAGATTGAAAAGAAAACAGAGGATAAAATTAGGTGCAATATTAGAAAGAAAATACTGGGCAAGCTTTTTTCTATGTAGAGACTTAAACTTGTTATGTGAATGTTTTCAATCTCATCCTATCACAGTAACAAGAAGAAACAGAAAAAGATGAAAGGCCAGGGTAGAAAGATTAACAAATGACTTTGCAAAAGATTACACATTGCTTGTACTGACAAATGAAAAATATAAGACAAATCAATAGAAACAAGACAAATCAAAGACAACCGAAAAAGCAGAATATATGGAACCATATGCATGATAACAAGCAGAACCCAAAATACAAACCACAAGGAAAATGACCAAGCATATCAAGAATACAAGTATGCATATCTTAATCAAACACTTTATGCAGTGGCAGTTCTGAAAACTTACGGTTTGGTCAAGGAAAGTTCTAATAAAGTTCAGACAGAGTGATTGTGAAGAAAAAATATTCAAGAAATAGTACCAACTACAAAATAAGCATGAACAAACAAACCAAATTTAACTTATAGGCATATATTCATCTAAGTTTCATGGCAACTTCCAACATAACTATAGAGACATCACCAAGCAAAAAGCTTTTGCAATTTCCTTTGAAGCAAATAAGTACCAAACAAATCCATTGAGAGTTACCGAAACTTACAACGCATGCAAATGGGAACCGAGAGAAACTGTGAAACAGAGCAGAGGAGAACGACGCTGTTGCAACAATCGAACGGCGATGGACAATGAGATGAGATATCAGAGTGATTTAGGTTTTTTGGGTGACACCCAATGTCACCAACTACGTGGTTTATACTCATTTTTTTTAAAAAAGAAAACATTTGACCGGTCTAAACCAGGTTCCATTTAACTCGCCGGGTCACTGAGACCTAGCCGGTAGACCGGTTCAAACTAGATTGATAGCGTAATCGATTCAAAGAGCCACTCGAACCGGGGAACCCACGAGGTCATCGAGACCCGGGTCGACCCGGTCAGTCTGATTCGATTTTTAAAATACTGATTCATACTCCTGTTTGTCTCCTGTCTCATGACCAGTGTTTTAAAACTTGGACCGATCCTTGACTCAATCGAGGTACTGGGTTAGTGGTTCTACGAGGATTCAACATGATTTTAAACTAATATATAATAAATATTAAATTATGAACATTATGTCCAACAAATAAAAATGGTTTAGTGATAAGCCTCATGATCCTCAAACAAGGGGTCGGAAACTCAATAATAAAGGTTCGCATGGCCCAAAAGTTCTATGGGTTAGGGTCAACCCGCAGGCTATCCAAAATTATAATTTCATAATTTTTTTTATCGTACTTAATACATTAAATATTTTAACAAATAAATATTTAATACTTTCTTAACATATTTTATACAAATTATAAATTTTTTATAATTTAATTTTTTATAATAAAATAATATTTGTACACAAATATACAAGTGAAAATGCTAATAAAATTTTAATATAAGTGAAAATTTAATTACTATCTCTATTAAATTCATTATTAAAAGATGTCATCAAATAAAGATTTTCTCACTTTCCTTTGATAATCTAGAGCAAGAGGATTATTGTTCCTTTCCTGATCCTCCTCTAGGAGTTTATTTGCTGTATTTAGCTGATTTAAGTAGTTTGGGTATGTATTTCTTCCTTTTAGCCTGCTTGGGGTCATACCCCATCCAGGATACCAAAAAAAAAAAAAAAAAAATTCTCACGAAGAATCCTAACAGAATATAAAAACTCTAGCGGAAAACTAAAAATAACGATGGTAAAATGATCTTAATAAAAACATTGATTTTCTTCAATTACTATTGCAAAAAAAAATAAAAATTATTATCCACAATATTACCAAGATATATTTGTATACAATTTATTTCAATACAAATTTGGATATATAACATGCTTAGATGTGAATAGAAATTTTTTTTTTATTAATGCGAAGATGAAGTTCTCTGTTGAAACATATTGTAAAACTATTTGTGTCTCATGTGTAACGTGTGTCAATCGGTTTAATTAATAATAAAAGAGGCTTTATGGTAATTGACGTTTTGCATTAATGGTGATTGACGTTTTGACTATCAAGGGAAGTTTTATAAAGGAATAACTGGTGACAGGTTCAGTTACGTTCAGAGAAAGGAGATTTTCTGATAAAAGGTGGTTTACAGAAACGCTCTCCATCATTGTCTACCCAGAAGAGTTGTATCAAATTCCTGTTAAAGAAGATACAAGAATAGAGAAGGGTTAAGATTCGATTTCACCATCAAAGTTATGTGAAACTCATAAATTCTAAAGATCCTGTATCATGTTCTTGCATGTAGAATATTGAACATGTATTACTGATTTACTTATGAAATTGCTTACATGTGGTATCAGAGCATGTGTTTAAGAATTTATGTTTTTTTGATTATAAATGGATTCTTGATTTGGAAATGTTAGGGTTCTTTGCAAATTATCGATTCTGATTTGCAAATCATATCTTATTTTATTTCCAAAATTCACGATTTCCAAATTACCGATTTGCAAAGTTTTATCATTGGAATTCGATTCTTATAAAAGTCAAACGGTTACATGAGAATTTCCATAAAATGAAAACCACTGTTTGGTATTTTGAAGCAAGGTACTCTGTGAATTTTTAAACGTAAATTACTTCTCGGTTTTTGATCAATTCACAAAAGGACGAAACGAATGCATATTTATGGCTTCTTGTATGAATGATATTGTATGTGCATATTAAGCAAGTCGCCGATTTGTGTTGAACCGAGTTGCAAGTTGTTTTCTTTTCACAATGTCTTCTCGGTTTTCGTGCTTAATGGACAAAGTTGAAACTTTTATGAATTATTGAAAAACAAGAGAGCCTTTCAATTGATTTGAATGAAATATAACCACCGTACGGTTTTTTTAAGAAATAAAATTGAAAGATAAAAGCCATGTCAAATTCAGTCACGTAAGCTAATCCCATTCTTACGGTTTTCATATTGATTTTATGATTATGTGATGTGGTTGGATTAAAATTGAATGTGAAAATTTAATCTTATTATTGTTCATGAAATATTAAAATTTTGGAATTAATTATGGTAGATTTGTTAGTCACCAAAGTGGCCAAATCTTGAAGAGTTGTTTTAATTCCAAATATTATGAATTTTATTTCAATTACCATGACTGTGATGCTGTGAGTAGTATGATATAATTATTCATGTTGTGGTATATTGAAGTTCATTATTATAGAACAGTTAGGGATCAACCCAAAGGTTGATTATTTGTTTTATAAAATGAACATGAATGTTGGTATTGTTGGCATATTTCCTTGCATTTGGACATCCAAAGATGACAAATATTTATGATAGGGGTATGCATCATTGCCAAATTATGCGAAATTTATATAGCATCATTATAGTTATGTTGTATGTTAATGGATCCCCAAAGGCGAACATTAATATGCATTGAAGTTAGTATAGTTGAATATGTGAAGTATGTTAGTATGTGACATGTATGACTCTAAGCATTAATGTTTAAATATTATTCCTTGCAGTACCTGTTGCTACACATTCCATGTTCTCAACTGTTACAGTTTTTAATGGGCTGAACTTCTCTGAATGGAAAGAGCAAATCCAATTTTACCTTGGGGTAATGGATATGGATATGGCTCTTAGAGAAGAGGAACCTGGTGCTATTACTGATGAAAGCACTGAGGATGAAAGGGACCATTTTAAGAACTGGGAAAGATCCAACAGATTAAGTTTGATGTACATGAAAATGAGCATAGCAAGCAACATTAAGTCAGCTCTTCCACAAACTGAAAGTGCCATCGAAATGATGAAACTTGTGGAAGAACGCTCCCAAACCGCTGATAAGTCTCTTGCTGGGACACTTATGAGTACACTGACCACCATGAAGTTTGATGGTTTGCGTACTATGCATGAGCATGTTATTGAAATGACAAGCATTGCGGCAAAATTGAAAGCATTGGGAATGGATGTGGATGAGAACTTCCTGGTGCAGTTCGTATTGAACTCATTACCGTCTGAGTATGGTCCTTTCCAAATGAACTATAATACCATGAAAGACAAATGGAATGTGCATGAATTGCACAGTATGTTAGTTCAGGAGGAAACCAAACTTAAGAATCAGGGAGCTCATTCTATCAATTATGTAAAGCATCAAGGAGTTGAAAAGAATAAAGGAAAGAAGCATGAGAAGAAAGGAGGAGGAGGACCCCTTAAAGTGAATGAGGCCTCTTCTTCTAAAATCCACAAAAAGGAAAGTAATGCAAAGATGAGGTGCCATTTCTGTAAAAAGGAAGGGCATTTCAAAAAGGATTGCCTGAAACGTAAGGCTTGGTTCGAAAAGAAAGGTAAGCCT